GGGTCGAGGGCTGGGGAGGAGGAATTTATTTACAGCTCCATAACTCAGTCTGTAAAAGTTGCTCCTCGGCGAGTGTTTGGTTTGATGTGTGCTTTCCTAAGAAACCTCCCCCTTCGCTTGAGTATTCGTTTAAAAGTGCCTTGTAAAGGCGAAACGGGAAAAAAAAAGGATTCGTGGAAACTCATAAACTGTGTAAAGCAAGAAGTGCGTCTTGGTGCAGAGCTCCTGGCACACTGTGCTAATGCAATGTCATCTCTCCATCTTTTCCCATAGCGAGTCAGATGGCAACCCCAGCACAGAGGATGAATCCAGTAAGGGGCAGGAGGATTTATCTCCCCATCCACTCTCCAGCTCATCCGATGGCGTTACCAGCCTCAGCCTTCCTGGCCACATGGAGCCTGTCTACATGCAGCAGCTTGGAAACACTAAAATAGCCTTGAGCTCATCTGGTGTCTTGTTGAATGGAAACCTCGTGCCTGCCAGTACCTCTCCTGTCTTCCTCAATGGTAGCTCTTTTCTTCAGGGACCCAATGGTGTCATTCTCAATGGACTCAGCGTGGGCACGTCACAGACAGTCACCTTAAATTCGCCCAAAACCGCATCGAGCATTGTGAGCAACGGAGTGTCCATCACTGACATACTGTCATCTTCGTCAGAAGATGTCAAGGACTTCAAACTCCTTCAAGCTTCGGTCCCCAGCGCCACGGCAGCCACCTTCAGCCCTAGCAACATCCCAGTCTCTTTCCCGGGATTGATACCGAGCTCAGAGGTGAAAAGGGAAGACGTACAAACTGCTGCTTCCCAAGACGGAGGCTCTGTAGTTACTTTTACTGCTCCTGTCCAAATAAACCAGTATGGCATTGTCCAGATCCCCAATTCAGGAACAAATGGCCAGCTGCTGAACGGAAGCATTGGTTTTTCTTCTCTGCAGCTGCCTCCTGTTTCTGTGGCAGCTTCACAAGGTAAAAGCTTTGTCCCTTGCAGTAAGAAGTATGAGAAAAAGTTGGAATCAGGCACACTGACCATTTCAGAAGCTGTGTTCCTTTCCCTCCGAGGTACCAGGATTGTATCTCAGCCACAGCCACACACACAACATCAAATAATACCTTTTGCCTCCCTTTATAGTGGGTTATGCTCATGGGCAGACTGTTAGGTGAGGCTGAGCTCCTCTCCAAGGAGCAGAGAAGGAGGTCTGGCAATTTACACCTCTTTCATCTCATGCTGTTCACAGAAGTCTGTGATACCACTCTTCACAAATATCTGTAAACTTTACATGTTTCAGTAATTGAAAATATTCCCCATTTGCCATTGAATTCTTTTAATTAGAAGGTTCATAAAAATTAAAATTGAGGCAGCTGGAAATGGTTACTGTTGTTGCTCTTGTGGTGGTTGTTTTGGGGTTTTTTAACCAAAGCACTTCATAAAAATACATTTTTAAATTACTGTAGACACAACAAGACCAAGCAGTCCCACTTGTACATTTTCTGTTCCTTAATTAAGGAAGATTAAACTGCAGGGGAACAACAGAAGTAAGCAGTGGCTCGTGGATATGAAATGTGAGGGTATTTGGATTAAACTGCCCTCAGTCCAAGGGAAATATGTCATCACAGGTTCATGTGCCAAATGTGCAGGCTCCTCCCTGAGTTTGCTTTAGAGTTTGTCTTAACATACCATAGACTGAGCCTTGCAGCCAGCCAGGAGGAATTCCAGGGAGCACAAGCCTAGTTCTGGATCCTTGTTTTGAAGCAGAGTAGTTAAAAAGCACAACTGAACATCACTGTTACACAATACCCACTGTATCTTTGGTTATGAAAATGATTAAACTGGAATGAATTTCTCTAGTTTCAGGAGCTGAGTCCTATAATGAAATCAAAGTGAGCTCCTGTGCTTCTTTGAATTAAACATGTATAGGGAGTGCATTATTCTTGCTGTAGCACAGGGAGAAACCCCAAAACTGCACAAACACATCTTAAATGAGTGCACAATTATAAGATCCTAAAATGTGGCACTCACAGGCACTGGAAGTTATTGGTACATGGTTTAACCAGGATTAAAGGGAGAAGACACTTAGTCTGAATGCCACCTGTAATTACAAAAGCCACTTAATCCACATGCTCCAAGGCATAAACTGACAGCCAGCAAAGAGGAGAAAGAAAGTTCTGTCCCTTAAGTAGTGTGGGACAATTTGAAAGTCCTGAGATCCATAATAAGCTCCTCTCTGACCATTTTCCTCATTGTTAAAAGTACTGATTCCCACGGGAGAGTGATCCACCAAATGTCTAGTCTGGTGCAGAGCACAGTTTGGATGGATAGCTATCTGCCTACCCCAAGTGAAGAGTGCTGCAGGCTATTTTAAGTAAGCTACAGTAAATAATATTGAAAGGTAACTTTAAGTTACCTCACTTTATTCTTCTAGTTTACACATACAAGTAACATCTTCCCAAAAAATCATCACAGGCAACCAAAATATTTCCCATGTGAAATTCATCTTCAGTGCTGTTCTAAAAAATTCAGGTGTCTCCAAATGTAGCCTCTTGTAATTAAACTGCTTTTGAGCAAGAGAGGTATATGAAGTGAGACCCAGAGCCAGTGTATTTTGGGAATTATTATAATAGCAACTTGCATGGCACATCCAGTAAAAACAGCTTCAGGTCATCTCTGGCCACCTCTCCTTGCTTTGGGTCACTACAACATCACACGAGCTATGGGTGCAAGGGTAGGCACTGCTGAGTGACTTCACACAGTGTGATGGATGTGGTAGGGTTGTGATTTTAAAAACACGTGACAGTGCAAGGTGAAAGCTCCAAGTGCTTGAGGGACAGCCTAGTTAACCTGATAGAAATTAGTGGGTTTTCATGTTTTTTGAACAGGTTGGCTCAGGTAGGTTCTGCCCAGCAGTAGTGGATTTCATGTGACGTGTCTCCAGTTCCCACACACAAGCTGTAGTCTGTCACTGAACTATCTTTAATAGCTTTTCATGCTTCTATTCTTAGATAGAAATTGAGTGGTGGCAACCAGTGAAGGCCAAAGCACGCTCGTTTTAGTCACATGGCTGGGGACTGTTTGCCCCTGAATGAGAGTCAGAAAGATACCTAATATACCAGAACCCTGGGGGTTTTTTTGTTTTACTTTCCAGAAGCAGTTTTTACTAACAGCATGTATTTCTTTATACCAAATTTTCTCTCACCTGTTACAAACATTGCTGTTCAGTGTTGCATGAAATATTAGCAGCTGTGTGTACTGCAAGGATAATAAAAGACCAGAACTTCTTAACAAAACACCTGCACCGCTCTCTGCCAGCTGTAATTTCTCTTTCCTTTTTGCTTCCCTTTGCCTAGGTAATGTTTCAGTAAATCCCAGCACATCTGATGGAGGAACTTTCACGACTGAATCTTCAACAGTGCAGCAAGGAAAGGTTTTCTTCAGCCCCCTCGCTCCGAGTGCAGTCGTTTATACCGTTCCCAACTCGGGCCAGGCAGTAGGCTCTGTCAAGCAAGAAGGACTGGAAAGAAGCCTGGTGTTCTCTCAGTTGATGCCAGTCAGTCAGAACACACAACTAAATGTAAACATGTCCTCAGAAAATATATCCAGTGGAGGACTCCAGTCCTTGGCCTCCTCCTTAGTGAATGTAACGCCCTCACATAATTTTTCCCTCACACCACCGAGTCTTTTAAATGCTGCAGAACTGAACTCTGGTATCTCAGAGAGCCAGTCCATGTCATCACCTGTGACCAGTACCTCTACGGTGATATCTATCAGCAACACTAACTATGCAACCCTTCAGAACTGTTCCCTCATCACCAGTCAGGATCTGTTGTCCATTTCCACCGCACAGCCTGCGCTTGGAGAGATAGTGTCTACAAGTGGAGACCGTGTCAGCAACCCCTCTGCACAAATGCATCAGGATTTCGTCAGAGAGCACAGGTTAGTTCTGCAAGCAGTACCTGATGTCAAAGAGAATTTCTTACCCAACTCTGAGGGCAAGTCAGCTGGCAATTTAATGATGATGGATTCCAAATCCAAGTATGTCATGAGTAACATGGTTGACACGGTTTGTGAGGAACTGGAAACGGACAAAAAAGAACTTGCCAAACTGCAGACAGTTCAGATGGATGAAGATATGCAAGACTTGTAACTTTTTTTTTTCTTGCTTTCTGTTTTAATAGATAAGTCTCCTCTTGAGGCCCTCGCAAACACCAAGTGGGGTGTTCGGGGTTTTTTTGTTTGGTGGTGTTTTTCTTTTCATTTAAAGAAACCAGAAGAACATTTCAATGGTCTGAATCGACGTACAGAGGAACCTCTGGCAATGGGATTCGGTTACCACACTTGGTTTGCATGCAGTATTCTCTTTTAAGCAGATTAAAGGAGAAAGGAAATGCCAGGGCAAGTACTGAGCAAATGGGTACAGATTTGGCTACCAGATACTACCCTGATAATTTAACTAGACTCCCCAGAGTACAACACGCTCTCAACAGTAAGTATACACTCCTAACTTCAGATAGCAAACAAAAATCTCGCTCCAAAAAAGTAGAAGCAATGCAGTCATTCTTGCTGTTTACTTGCAGTCCATGGGCATTGAGAAGTTTTTAAGGAACTCTAGACGATACCTCTCCGGCGACTTCGATGTTGTTTGAGGTTAAGAAATGAAACAAAATCCTAAATGATATTGTTCCTGATGTGTTTGCCTTTTTTTTTTTCAGCAGACTTGTGTTCAAACCAAAAATCTCTCATCAATCATTTGCAGGTTTCTAAATGCTACAGCTAGCATTTGGTCAGTGCACCAGAAAAAGCATCGTTTGAAACTCTAATTATGCAACTCAGAAGCTTTCTCTCCAGTATGAATGTAAATATTGTTTCAGTTCTTATAAAGGAGACTTCTTTTTTTTTTAAATTAGTACAATGGATTTTATTTATGGTTTATGTTCCCTTTCACTTTAGACACAATGCATTGAAAAGGAAAACGTTTTCTGGCTGTTTAATTTATTTTTATTGTTTGAGCAGGAAGTAAGCGTAGTTATTTCTGACAAGGTTTTACTTTTTTTGTAGTTTTTTCAAGCAATAGACTGTAAAATGTTAATCACACTGAAACTAGAAAATGAATTCCCAGTCTCACAAACCCAGGAGGTCACTGTCTCTACCCCCTCTGTCTTTGTGTTCAGGGGTTTTTTTGTTTGTTTTGTTAGTAATTTGCTAATTAGTTGAACCTTTCTGTGTATTTTTTTACAGAATTCCACGTGCCTTTCTTCCTAGTGGCCTTATCTTTGTTACTAAAGCACAGTGGCAGGAGGAATAAAAACACTGATTTGCAAATATCCGTCCTCAGGGACAAATCCTGATGCCTTACTTCTGCAAGTAGACCCATGGACTTGGGTGCCCCTACTTGCACAAGTAAGAAGAGTTTTAAGTCTTTGGGACGTCATGGGTGACATTCACTAGTGGTGCAGAGAGCCAAAGGTAGGTCCTTCTGCACCACCTCAGCAGGGCAGGAGGAGTCCAGGGAGGGACCACGGGCAGAGCTGCTGTGCTGAGGGAAAGCTCTTGGCTCCAGCCTCAGGCAGATGAGCAGGAAGGGTTGGATGGGCAGGCCAGGAACGGGAAACCCACCTTTGCATGGGCCAAACAGCCTGTGTGGGAGGGCTTCAGCTGCTGGTGGAGCAGGCAGACCCCCATGCAGGAGTGCACTTAGGTGTGTGCTTAGATATCCTTCCAGAACAAGCAATGTGGGGGCTGAAGGTGGGACTGAAAGGCTCATGGGAGCAGCTGTGGTCCCTGCCTGGCTGGGGATGGGTCTCCACACCTTTCTCCCCTGGGACAGCAGGAGCAGGTGGCTCTGGGCAAGTGGAACAGATCTTAAACTTTCCTCCAGAGGAGTTTTTGTAGCATGGAAAAGCACATCCTTAAGCTTTAAAATAATAAGAAGAATGCAGATGTACAAAAATGACATGCTGTTTATCTTTGTGTTATTTTTTTATTCTAATGTGAATATATACAGTAACTAAAGCATGTGTTCATCCTCATCAGGGGCCTGATCCAAAGCCTCCGGAAGGCAATAGGAAATGTTTGCATAAGCTTCTGTGGGCTCTGAATCAGGCTCAGGACAAAACAAGATCCACTTGTGAAGGACAAAAGAAATGGAAAGGAAAGATAATTGAGGCAGCACATCCCAGTCTGTTTGTCTTGGTTGTAACTGGTTCTGTGGAAAGCCTTTGAGGAAGGAAGGTTTGTCCATGCGCTGTGAGTGTGGCATCGGCATTCTCGCTGTGGTTTTGCACTATATTGAAGACAGAGTGTTTTGTGAGGTATTCTGTGGAACCTTGAAGCTGAGCTCTGTTGGTGAGCACTGGACTCCACGCTGTGAGCCAGAGTCTCCAGGGCTGCAGGGAAAAATGAAGGGAAAGGGAAGAGCAAGTGTGCAAGGAGTGCACTTTGCAGCTGAGCGGAGTCGCTGATGCTCTGCAGACAGAAGCAGCCCATTAGCAGTTGGCTGTCCCCATGTGCTCCCAAGCAAACAGGGTGTTTGAGGCAAGTGCTTTAAAGCAGAGATTATCACAAGCAGAACATGGAGCTGCATGTTCCCCTGGCACATCTTCCCCTGACGTTCAGGGGAGCTCCACGTGAGCAGGGAATCCGATAGTCCAGAGTTCTGCTATCCACTCTGCTTGTTTATCTGTTTGCTGGGCCCCAGCATGAGCAACCTGCTTCCCACCTCTTATTCACCCATAAAACCAAGATGATGATGACAGTAACAGTAGCTGTATGTGCTTGTGCATGAAATTGTTCAGCCATTTGGAAAATTAGAAATACCCTGTATCATTGTCATTTTAATGGAGAACTTGGCTCTGGAGGAGTTGATTGAGGCTTAACATTTGGTCTGTGAAGCTCAGACTATATTTGGAGGCAAGCTGGGGAGTATTTCAGAGCACTCTCTCAGTTGGTGGTGTGATCAGGTCTCATAACTGAAAAGACTGGTGTTACACATGTATCTGTTACTTTTTTATTCTTCCTCCTTGGCACTGGTTGTGTTACTGAGGCTCTGAATTCCACAGTTTTGCAGCACAGTTGATGTGAAAACTGTGTGTTGTTACAGTGATATGTATCTTGGAGCGTCTGGTACTTCTAGTAGGAGATTTCCCACTCTTCAGTGGGAGAGGAGGATGTACATAAAAGCAGTGGTTTGGGACAAAGTAAGATGAATCTATTCTAGTCTTCCAGATATCAAGTAACTTATTATTATGTTTTACTCTTTCTTTCTCCCATTGAAAATAAGTGTCATTCCCTCCAGATAACGTAGTTATAACCTCATGTTTTCTGCAGGTACATATGCACAATATAAAGACTCATTGCACGGTACAGTGTTTTTAAAAATAGATATTTAAATAAGTAGTTTTACTCCTTACAAGGGTAAGTTTGTATTACATGGCCCTCAAGCAAGCAGGCTAACTGCTCTAAATAGACAGTACACAAAGCCCCAGAAGGTGTCTGGGGCTGGATCTTTGGCTGCTGTAAATAAGGCATTGCTCCATTGATTCCCAAATCAAGGATTTTACATGGTGTTTAGGGGATATGGATGCTGGTCTCCACACAGGAGGAGACAGTGAGTGTCCAAGCCCCACAGACAGCCCTTATTATCCTGTTCTGTTTAAATGGAAGGCATACCTGTTCCTTCTCCCTCCCTCTCTGTTATGGATGAGAATAAAGGATCGTTTCAGCTTCACATATGTTTGTAACTTGTAAGTCCACTGGAAATTTTACAGGAAACATTGCCAAATTCTACTACTTCTCTGGTCCCAGACTCAGCTTTGAAAAATATGCTTAAAGTTTAAGCAAATTCTTACAAAGCATGGTGTTAATACTCCCTTTGTTCTCTACTACTTTTAATTGAAGCTGCCTCTGTTTCACCCAGAGTTCTGCAGAAAACCAGAAACACACTAAGCTGAATGCTCTGCCTGGACTATTTTTTGCAGCATTATTCCTGTGGTCTTACCTACAAGGACATTTCAGCAGTGTAAATCAGAGATCTGTTGGCCAGGTCCTCGACTCGGCTAAGCTACCACAGTTCCATAGACTGATGTCCTGTCATGCCAGCCAGGAATATGGTCCATTCATTTCACTGGTGTTAGGTCAGGGACGATTTGGCCCGGTATATGGTGGCAGCATGAACCAGTGCACAAGGCTGACACTTGGGTAGAACCAAACAGTCACAGTCTATCGAAGCATATACCTCTTCCCATTTACTGCTTTTCCCTACCTGTGGATTCAGGAAGATGCATTCAGAAAGTGATTTTACCCAGAAGTAAGGCTGGAACAGTTTTTATTGTTACTACTATCAATCTGAGATTGATGACAATAATTGACAGGTTCTGACTTCAAATCCTGCAAAATCACCTCAATAACTGTTTTCAGTTAAATTAAGCAGGGCAGAATTTGAGCCTGTGTGCACAGGAGCTTTTCCCACGTATAGATTTCCAGTGCCTGTGCACTTTTCTTAGTGAGGGCAGATGAACAAGAGGCTGCATCTCTCCAGTTTCATATGAAATATGTGTGCAGGACTCTGTGGGGCATGAATTGCCTAGTGCTTGTGGTCAGCAAAGTGTCTCAAATCATAGAAAGAATAGTAATTTTATAATTCTGGAAACAAAAATAATGATATTTTGCAAGCGAGGAGACCTGAAGTCTTCCTGTATCTCCTAGCAGATATTATCTTGAAGGATATTTTATACATTACTTGTATGTTTCATATAATTTAAAAACTTGCTTCTTAAATTTCTGAACTCAAGGAGGGGGTGAATCTTCTGACTCTGAGGATTCCCATTCAGAGGATGTTTGTTCTTTTGCTGCATGTACTGTTTGTCCAGAACTAACCAGTTATTTCTCCAATATGGGTTTATTGTGCCTTACAACAAATACGGAACTTAAGCGGAATGTACACGTTAGAGGAGGGAATGATCAGAAGACTTTACTGCACTGTTAGGTGATGCTGCCCCAGAGTGTATCATCAAACATATCTGTGCTTAATTACCCAACCAAAGAGATCTAAAGTATGTATGTTTGTTGTACTGTAATAGGGGTTTGTGCCTGGACAATTAAGTGTTTTATTTGTATTCTGAGATGATGTGAACTTATTTTTCTAAACAC